ATATATAAGCAAAGAAATCTGCAAAAACAGTTCACTGTATTAATCATGCCATGGATAAGAATGGCAAAAAAGATACAACATCTAATATAGAGCTTTTTGATAATATTCTGCAATCTGCAGGCTTCAGGTGACATATCAAATAAAAAATGAAATTGATGACATGTATTGTATCCCATATGATTCTGGAGATGTACATTATTGAAATAATTCAAATTAAAAATAAAATTCACTTGTGACTACCATATAAATTCTCAGCCATGCCTGTTTTAAACACACATAAACATACCATAAGCAATATATATTTATATTCACAAACACAAGGGTAAGTGTAAAAAAAAAAAATCAGCAGGTAGTCAACACATTCCCTTCAATTTGTCCTTTCTCTCAGCTGTACACTAACACAAATGCCAAGCAAAGGATTAACGTAGAAAAAACTCCACATCATAAAGAAGGAAAAGTAGGCAGGTTTTGTTCTACCAGCTGGAGGGAAAACAAGTACATGCTTTATGTTCAGCAAAGGAAATGAATGAGGTTGCATAAAATCCTCCTCACCTGTCCCCTGCCAGCAAAGGACATGTACAATATGACAGCACAATAGCTTTGCCAATCTATTCAATTCTTCACAGATCTCTTGAAGCTGGAAGGTGTCCCACTGAGATGCAGTTGCAGTGCAGATCCTAATAGATTCAGAGGCAAAACCTAAGAATTGCACTGATGTCCTGTCATTGCCAAAGGGGGCTGCTGCATCCTAGTGATTACCATTCAATAAAAAGGTTAAGGCAACTGAATTTCATGCATGAGGCACATCTTCCAGAAGCCCTTGGTACAAGTGTTTGAGTCTAAAGTCCACAGCGTGCACCACCAAAGAATAAAATATCAATAGAAATGCCAACAAAATGTTTTCTCTGTATGGTTTATCTTGTATCAGAAGTCAAATACTATAGCTGTAAGAAGCAGTATTCTATAGGCCAACTTACTGGGGGGAAAAAAAAGTTCTAAACCAATTAGTAACTGTTCTTAGTTTTACATTTGATTAATTTCTTCCTTTAAATAAGTGATTCTTAAGAAATCTCATTCATTTCAGGAACTTCAGGAGAGAAAACAGTAGACATTGTCCCTGATGGTCATAGTGCTTAGACAAATTAGATTTACTTCTTAGCATTATCTTTTCCCACTCCTCTTTGTACTCAAGGTATATAAAGACAACAGAATGAAATAGGCAGACATTTGGAGCATAGGCCTTATTATCAACACAGCTCACAGAGAGGGAAAACATACTTTAAATAGATGAGCTAAATATAGATTCAATAACTTCCTTGGACTATAATGGCTCGAGATGTAAACTTAGAATCTTTTACCCCAGAAGCGAAGAGAAATAGCAATTATAAGTCTAAAACAAGGTGATATTTAATCTTCTGAAAAATATCACATGGGCAATGTCTTTTAATGGACACGGTCTGCATTTTCATCTCAGAAAACAGGTCTCTTCAAATAATAGCAAAATTGACCTGAATCAAATTTGTTGTACAGCTTCTTCACTTTGAAAATGTTAACAGTTCTGAAACAAATCCTTATTAGAAGCTGAATTTCGGAAATTGTCTCTTGAGCTGTAACACTGAATTCAAATAATGAACTAAAGATTCTGGAACTATTTGTGTTGTAAAGATTTTGAATACCATTGCAGATCTGCTACTTCAGATATTTCTTGACATAGTCACTGCTATATTTCTTCTCCGATATTCTTTCCCACTTTTTTTTTTAAATCCAGACTACATTAATACCATATATATTTTACAGAAAGAAAGAAAGGTAAGGCAAATTAATGCAGATGTCTCTGTTTTAGACTACAATTGAAGAAATACTTTACTTCAGAGCAACATACAACATCAATGCACAATATGGGACAACATGTAGCGGTCAATAAGGAACATGGCACACCTATATCAACAATACTGTCATAAAGATCAAAATATGACATTACAAAAATCCTAATTCCCATAATAAACCTCAGCAGCTGGTCTTCTTTTGGCATATTAAATTCACAGGTAAAAACCACAACTGAAAATCATTCACATATGTATTTATTGAGAAGCAAATTATTCTATCCCTTACCAATTTGGGAACACTACCCCATAAAAATAAAACTCATCAGTCTCAGTCCTGACTCTACAATAAAGGAGATGAGCAAGAAGCAGTGATAAGAGGATGACACAAATTGCTACTGGAGGGAAAAATTTTCCAAGTTGTACTTTTTCTTCAGAAAAAAACAGACTGAAAAAAGGATGGCTGATTAAGAGATCATGAGTAGCTTAAAAGGCCCAAAGTAGTCCCACCAAAACCAGATTAACACTGTTATGTTAATGACACACAGAGTCATTAATTTTTTTATTATTTGAAGGAGATACTGCATTTCCAACAGGACTTCACTTTCTTTCCCTCCAAGTACTGACCTTATCCATTACTCTCCTGCCCATGGAGTCTAATATGATCAGAGTCTGAATTGATTTGGCTGAAAAGAATTATGACAAAGACCTTACATTGCAGTTACCCTTGAAGAACAGCTAGCATATGCACTTCTAACTATCACCACTAGCAATATGAAGCTTTCATTTTCAACTTCAGTATTAGGAAGTACAGATAACAGAATAACACATTACAAGACTCCATTGTTTAAACAAAGCAAAACATTCCTTTGTTCAACACTATGAAGAAGGGATTTATTTGATTTTAAAAAAATCTGATAACACAGCAAATACTTCTCCTTCCAGAGAATTCTTTCTACCCATTAAGTGACAGCATGTCCTATGTATCTTTTGCACTTATCTGTATCTGCTGAAAGCTAAAAATAATGGTGCCTTTAGGAATTGTACCCTACTGAGTTTGTGAAAGATGGCGTGAGGCATTTCTGCTCTGCACATTTTATTTTTACACTGCTTAAAACTGCTGTTATTCCTGAGCCTGATTTATGGGTACCCTGGGGTACTCCTAACCCCTTTTGATGTTATTTCTACTGGAAACAGTTGACAAAAGCAGAACTTCCCTCGAGGATTGCACAGTTTTAGTATTTGTTTCAACTTTCAGTCATTTGCTCAACCTATTAAAGCTTCTTCAAAGACATAGAATAGCAACCCATCACCTTGAATGCTACAGAAAAAAAAATGCATAAAGGCTGCCAATTCAGATTAACTCTGCTGTAGAAAAATAGAATACATTGGAAGGCATTACACTATATGGAAAACTGCCTATGGATTTAGTATAGCCCTATGAGGGTATTTGGCTCTGAAGTATTTCACTCTGGTGGTCAGAGCTGCATGAACATATTCATAGAAAATATAAACCTAAGGCAATAAAAGTGTTCCTAATGTAAACTTGAGAACGAAAACTGGCAATAGACTTTAACGTTACTTCCACCTTGTATTTTTTCCATGTAACAGAGTACACTCCTGCTTTAAATATGATTTTTATGAGGTTTGCTAAAACCATACAAATGCTGTGCCAAGTATCTTGGAGCTTAATTGCTCTGCCTGTGGTGGACTAACTGTCCATGATAAATGGACGGAACCAACTAGATATACGGTGTACAAAAATATTTCAGAAATACGTAAACAGTACCTGGTTGTCATCTTTTCCTGTTTTATTTTTTTCTTCAGAATAAAAAGGTAGAAAAATGTATTTTGAAGAACAGATACGATTTTTTCATTTTATTATAATGAAGCTAATATGAAGTAATACCTAATGTACTGAATACAGTTAATCTTCTTTTCCACCTGAATGCTACAGAATGATGAAGGTAGGTTTCACAAAATACTACAAACTGCAGAGTGCCCTGGATGCTACTTTTCAACTGCATAAGAGTGTTAGAAAGTAATTGCCAGTACAATCATCTAATGTTTAACTAAAGTTAAAAGATTATGGGTATTTGTGTAATGTCTTGGAGTTATATATAAATATTACAAGAATCCTAGGTTGGAGAAAAGAATTAGGAACTCAAAAAACTGAGCAGAGATTTCATAAAGTAGCCCAAAGATTTTACAATACTTATGCAGCACTGATAATTTATTTCATTGTCCAATCTCTCACTCTTTGCAATGGTGAAAGGCTTACATTTGATCATCCTTGCAACAGGCAAAAGTTAAAATCAGAAACTAAAATAATTTCTTAGTACTTGAGTCTGCACCCTTGCCGCAAAATGATGAAGTACCAATTTGACAGAGACTGATATTTAGCCTTAATTTAACCTGTACTTGGGATCCTGTTCTGTGAATACACCGCAGAGGATGCTGCCAAAATCAGCTCTTTCCAGAAGACACACCGTATGAATCAGCAGAGTTTGAGTGTCCCTTCCCATTTCTCCCTTCGACAACTACCATTTTGCAATTCTGCTTGGTATACATTTTTATGCAAAATATCTCCTAATCAGTAGATAAATGTGTTTCAGGTAATTCTTCACTACAATGGTAGCTGTCTTTTTCGGGCAATTGGTTTTTAATCCATGCATTTGCAAGTAATGGGTATTCTTGAATGTATGAGCCCAAACACCATATGCAAAGATGGATTACAGTATTTAAAACTGCAATAAACAGAAATATGAGAACAGATGCATTTTACTTTGATTTATAGAACAAATATCAAGAAGTTAATTTCTGCAGGAACAGTGTGTCCCCCTCGAAAATCAAGCTTTCTTTCACAGGCTTCTGAATACGTATTAACAGAAAATATCTACACAGTTTTGCCACTACCTTGAGCACTCGAGGTTTTAGTTAGAGCTTTAGCAGTCAGATTTTTTACATGCAACACAACTAAGGTAAAAAAGTATGAACTGTAATTGTACCAGCAAAACAAAGAACACTTCTGAAAATATGGCCCACTTTTCACCACACTACCAGGGGAAAAAGAATCTATAAAAAGGAAAACAAACAGAGGATAAAAGGCTCTTTGGAAGTGATAAGTACTTTGAAGCACTGAGACTGTGCATCTCTGACACTTTTTGTTGTACTTACCTAATATCAGTGCATGTTATACATGTGATACAGCGACTGTTTGTTGTAACGAGGTTCAAAGCCACGGATGTTTCACTGTCAGTGGTTGGGTGTGCTCCACATTTAAAGTAAAACTCCTGAAATATTGAAGGAGAGATAAAGAGAAGATTATGTACCTGCTGTTCATGTCCTTCCTTTATCTTTGGCTAACTGACATTTGAGAAAACAGACAAATCACCACTTCCAACAGCAAAGGAGGACAATCATTAGGAAAGGTTTACAAGGGATCCTTTGCAAAAATACCAGTCTAGGTGTGTATTTTGTTCAGTGACTTTCCTAGCAAAGAAGATATCTACTTGAGTACTAAATTCATATCAGTGTGACACAGTCTGTGATTTTCTGGATTTACAGAAAAAAAATGCTTCATTTAGACTTCATCTAAGTATAGTCATCAAAGGCAAAATACTATAATTGCCAAGATGCATTAATATTTCCACTTTTTTCATTACAGATATTAACATTTTCTGAATTCTACAACACAGACTTTTAGCCTTAAATTAGTAAACTCTGGCCTTGCTTTTGTAATGTTGGTAATCTTTAAGATACAATTTTACCATCACATAAAAGGTAAGCTCTAGCTTTCTTGGAACACATATTACATTTATATGGTGTTCGAATTAAGTTGCTTTAGTCCATACTGCCCTATATAGCCTCTTAGACTGCCTTCATTAGCATCCTACTTTTCACACAACTGTGTGCTTTGTTCTCTTTTCCATTGCACCCCAGGGAAAGCCATAGGAATCACACCATTCTTTGATAAGATTTTGTTATAAGAGATTGCTTTAAATATCCAAATCACTCTATGTATATGTAAATAAAAGCTGTCTGAAGACATGTGTTTTGCAATAGGAGCCACAGATTACAGTTTGTAGTTTCTTTGTTGCTATGAGACCTTTCTTCCAATATTGAATTGTAGAGGTTTGTAATGAAAACATAAATACTGGTATAAATGAAGTGTGAATGGGAAGGTAAGGGCACAAAAGCATTGGAAGAAAGGATGAGAAGGCATAAAAGAATGACAAGTGTTGATGGCATAAAGAGATTAAGAAAAAAAGATGACTGTCAAGACACTCAGACTTGGGAAAAATCCTACGAAAAAACAGGGAAAACAAACAAACAAACAAAACTGCAGCAAGAGAAAAAGATACAGGCAGCAAATAAATCAGCAGCATTTCCTAGTGACTCACAGAGGTGGGACAGGATGAAGGAAAAAAATTAGTTACTGTCAACTTCTTTAGGGTGAAAAAGTCACATCCAAACCCCAGCATTAAGAACAATCCAAAAGCCATGAAAAAGACCTGCTTGGTGTGTGCTAGCGTCACTCCAAGTTCCTAGCTAGACTATCTGGACACATATCGTAACACTTGTCAATATATGAATAAAAGAGAATGTGTGGATGAGTGTGGATGAACAAAATCAGTTTTGATTAATACAAGATCACCTTTCTCTCTATAGAGTTTTGCATTGAGATTTATTACAATACTGTACTAAAATTAGTCCAGACAGGTGCTGTTACTTTTTTAATACCTGCAGCCTTGCAGTAGGGAGTTTTTCATCTGCAAAACAGTTGTCAATTACTGGCTTTGTTTCTTCAGTTGCAATCACTTAGACACATTGTGTATTTCTACATGTGGCAAATCCACTACTATACAGTACTGTACCACTCTAAGGTAGAGACTCTGGTAACTGGGGACATGAGAAGTATTAATGCAACCTCCGTCCTAGGTTAGTCAACCCTGTTTCTCACAGAAGCACTGATACACGAAACAGATTCAACACAAAATATTCAAACACGTCTATAAGGACACAATACCTGAAGCATGTGTAAGTAGCAGTTTAAGAGAAGTATGGGGTAGGAGTACAGTTTAAAGGCAAGTCTATTTTTTAAGCCAATTGTTGACAAAACTTTCGAAGTAGTCACCTGTATATGTTTATATACATCTAAATTTTTTGACAGATAAATTATCTTTCTGTCCTGCTTTATAACATCAGGAAGTAGTCCCAAGCAAGAAAATATGCTTAAAGTTATCCTTCAACAAGACTTCAGACTTTCCAAGTTTTTGCTCTTGTTCAATACCCAGTTACACACGCAGTTTGTAAATATTAGCTTAACTTGAAGCATTTCAGCTTCAAATAAGTCAATGGAACTACACATTCATCTGGAATACATGAAAACCTTACACAATCTGTAACTTCAATTTATTTTCAACCTTTAAAAACTTATCCATTGATCTTTGTATTATTTGCTAATGGGTTTTGGAGCTTGAGTTTTCTTTACCCTTTAATTTAATTTTACTTTTGTTTGAATTAAATGGTAAGAAAAATTTATTTCAATGCAGAAGTCTTGAAATATATCTCCTTACTTCAGTACATCTTCTGCATGCAGCTAAAAGAATATTGACAACTAACAACTCCAAAACAGGTAAACTACAGGCAAGGAAACATATAAAAGGAAATTAATTTTTGATAAAAGTACTTACCACTATAATAAAATATTATTTGGGTCACAAACAAAAAGAGTAATATAGGTATTAAGCTCTAAAACACTCGAACTAGGTTTAGACTTTTTTTTCCCTGAACAATATCTGTTTGATGATTCTAATTACTTTTCATAATACCACACAATTGTTCTTGTCATGAAAGCAACTTGATGAAGATAGAAATTAAATAAAGCAACGCAATTCTTATTCCATGGAAAGACAGACAGACAGACAGGGAAAAAATAGTCAAAAGTCTTATGTTACATTCCCAAAATACTTTTGCCGTATTATTAGGAAAATTACTTTTCTGTTTATCAGCCCAAAAACTGCTTTAAGAAAACTCTTCTACTAATTAAATTTATTATATGCTTTGGTGTTGTTGAATGGAGAACATTATGTAACGTGAAAATACTGTTTAAAATAACAAAAGAAAATATTGCCACTCTCCAAAGCTATTCATTTAAAGACTCCCCGCTTCACTAAACTGCAATTAAAGACAGAGTAAATCTTAATATTAAGTGTAAACAGAACAGAGGAAAAAAAATTCCTCAAGATCATGTATCAAGTATTTGTTCAGAAAAAATCCTGAAGATTAAAGAATAAAACAATTATTCAAAAAAAATGTGTTGAGACTAGCAGTACAGTAAAACTAACCCACTTATAAAATGTTCACCCTTGCAAAATCAAAAGTTGTCAACACAGACAATCCACAGTTCTACAAAATCAACACAACATTCTACATGTGTAGGCCTGAGACCTCAGTGCTGTGATGGGAGTTTGGAAATATGGGGAGAGATGGGAATCTGGAAAACTCGATATGCTGAGTGCCTGACAGTTCTGGATTAGCGTGGACTCCATTTTCACGATTTTTTTTTTCTGTACTAATACACATTCCACTTGTTTAAAGGCCTTTAAAAGTAACAAACTCAATTGAGTTTCCAGTTGTATACAAAAGTTTATGTTGCCTGGTTTACATTGCATAAATACATAATCCATTAATATTTATTTGTTACATCTACCAGATCACCCAGAAATTTAACAGGTTTTTTTGTGCCAGGGCATATACCTATGAAGCTATCATGACAGATAACCCATCGGCACAAGTTGCTTCTCAACTACTTCCAGCAGTGAAATTACTGAAAGCAAAATATAGGAGGAAGAGTTTAGCCACTTTTCACTCTCCACCCTTGTATTTCATCAGGCATGTAAATGTAGCTATTCTTTTATTTAGTCCTTCACCCAGCGTTTGATAGCTTAAGGAGGGAAATTTGCTGCATTTTTTAATCCAAATCACTTATGTTCCAAGGTTAATCTCTGAACAGGTGTAGAGACCTTGGAGCCAGTAAGTTTAGGACTAACACTCTAATGTTGCCACAGACTGTAAAATTCATACAAACAGTTATTACTTCTTAAAATTGATACCAAAATGTCTCTCTAAACTTAACTTATGCTATATGAGACAATACTTTTAAAATATTAACTTTATAAAAAAAACCTCAAACTTTACAGAATAACAGAAAAGGAATGGGCAAAAATTTATGCAGTCTCCATCACTATCTGACCACTTCCAATATATTTTAAAATAGAAAAAATAACATTATTCCTCCTTTATGCACTTGCATTATTTGGCACAAAAAATTCTGATGAATGCTTTTTTTTAAGTATTTGTGTTAAGCAATAAGGATATCTAGAAATTACTGCAAAAGCTGAGTCAAAATTTAGTGCTTTTCTTAGTTCTGAAAGTGAGTAGTTTTATGTTCACCTTCTACTGCAGTGAGCACCTTTAGATCATTTTCTTGCCTAAAGGCATAGGTCCCATGAAATTGTGAACATTCTATTTAACACTATAAATGTCTTCCTTTTGGCAGTGTATCTGATAGATTGTTATTCAGAGAAGGGAGCAGACATCACTCTTACATACTCTGTCATATTCTTCACTCCTGTTATCGCTTTTGTGTCACACAACATCATAAAAAGTGCACGAGGGAAGAAAAGGTTCAAAGATACACGGTCACTGTTAGCTACTTTTTATGAAACTCAAGAAGTAAATGCTGAAATTTATCAAAAAAATAATCTTCTTTGATCTTTTACCAAAAATATATCTCTGTAAATTCTTTTCACACAAAACAGGGGTTTACATACCTCTAACTGCTGATGATAAGTAAACTGCCTTCTATATGATCAAGTAACTAACACAAGTAAGACCAAAGACAAAACCACCACAGAGAAGGCAGGGTGCGAAAAACAAAAAGGCCTAGAAGAAACTTTACCCTTTTGATACATATCCAGTTTACTGCACTGTCAGGAAAAAAAAAAGCATTGCTCTTTTCTAAGAAGTACCAAGATAGCCTGCACCTTCGCTGAGATTCAACATATACACATGAAAATACAGGTTCCTACCCTTGTTTCTCATTCTATGCTGTGTAGGTTGGCTAAAATTCCTAAGGAAGCTCAGCAATATTTCTTTCTCCCAGTTCTTAATAAGCTAGAAAATAAGGTGAGGGCCTTATGGTATTTTTCCCCTGGATTACCTATATGTGTGTTTATTAAGGACTGATAGGCAAAGCCATTTATGAATGTTTTATAGCCACTGAAGG